TGTCCATCTACTTTCAAGATACAGAATCTGTCCATAATAAAAAGAAATGTTTATAACAGGCCTGTTATGATAGAAATCAAAATCTGTATGAAAGAAAAGGTGAGTGAATTTACTAAGTTAACGTAACTACTGAGGTTGACCATCAAAATTAACTCTGAGTTTCCTAGAAACCAAAGCCAAAGCCAAAAACAAAAAAAATAAAATAAGATAAAATAAAATAAAATAAGGCCAGAAGCATACAACAGAAACTCATGTGGAAGCACAAAATGGTATAGCTATGTTGGACCACAAGTTTAATAAAACTAAACATCAGATTGAAACCAGGACTTTGCACATAAACATACTCTTACATGATCTACCAGTCTTACTAGGCAGTACTTACACAAAGAAGTTAAATGTGTGTCCATACAAAAATGTACATACAATTTACAACAACTTTATTTATTATAATTGCCAATACTTAGAAGCAGCTGAGATATCTATCTTTGAGTAGGTGACTGGATAAACTTTGGTTTGTCCAGACAATGGAATACTGCTGAAATATTAAAAATAAGCGAGCTATCGAGAAAAGAGGAAAGTAAAATCATGTTTCTTAAAGAAGCCAATCTGAAAAGGTTACGTACTGATGATTGCAACTGTATGACATCCTAGAAAAAGAAAAAGGAAAGGGAGCCAGGAAAAAGATCAGTGGCTCCCAGGGGTTTGGAGGAAAGCAGTAATGAGGCTGAGCATGGAGGACTCTGAGGACAGTGGAAATAGCCTCTGCGGCACCATGAGGGTGGATGCGTGTCACTGTGTGGTTTGCCGTAGGATGTGCAACACTGAGAGCGCTTCCTAATGTTAAAGTATGGGCTTGAAGTGATTATGTGCATCAGTGTAGGCTCATCAGTTGTAACAAACATACCAGCCTGATGAGGGATGTGGTTATGTAATGTGAAAGGCTGTGCATGTCTGGGGGCAGGGTTTTGTAGGGTCTCATTCTACCTTGCAGTTTTATCAGGAACCTAAAGTTGCTTTAGAGTATAAAGTCTATTAAAAAAAATAAAGAAAGCAGAGTTGGTGAGTAGCGGAGCAAGATGTACACTTGTCTGTAAACTGGGGGTAGAAAGGGTGAGGAAGTGTCTGTAAGCCCCCTTCCTACTGTCCACATCCACACCTGCACAGGCCTATCCTGGGTCCTGAACTGAGATTATTCTTTGAGCTCTTTTCTCCAGCGCTTGCCTCCTCCGTATTCCCTCAAGCAGGGCTCTCTACAGCCTTGGTCTGTGAGCAGCACATCTGCCAGCCCTCCTAGCAGCTATGCCCAGGCAAATTCTTACGATCCCTTCCAGATTTACCATTCTGACTGTAAAGAAGGTGCTTCCTTTTCCTGTTCTTCCGCTTGTATTTCACTCCACTTGAGAACCTTTATGCTCTTGAGGTCAACAGAAATCCCCACCCTGTCAATTTAATGTTTCTGCTCACTGCCTAAGAGGCATGAAATCACAGCCTGCCACCTAATATTAGAGGTCATTTTCCATGAATGTCTAGATGGGGCTGTCCATATAACTTGTGACTTAAAACATACGGTCACTAGGTCCCCTGTTAGATCAGTCTTGGGACTGATAGGTCTGGCTAATAAGGAGGATGGGCGTGGACATTAGGTAGGAGACAGCATTGCCTAGCAAGCTGTCCCTACACAGTGGCCCTTAACTCTCTGGGGCTCTTGGTGAGACTGTCCAGGAGAAGAGCTGCTGTCTAAATGAGCCTTTCCCCAGAGACAGCCTGCTGCTCCCCACACATGCACAGACCCTGAAGACCCAGCCTACTGAGCATATTTATTTCCATGTGTTCCTGTCTTAATTACATTTTTTCTTTACTAGCATCCTTATTCATTATTTATAACAACTTTCAAAAATAATTATGCAATAATCTCTTTCCCTCTACACAATAGCTTTTTACCTTCCTATTTTGGCTTTTCAGCTTTTTATTTATATGTAGCTGTACATTGCTGTCACTGGCATTTAGATACTATGGCCAAAATGTGTGATACTGGTTTTGAACAGTTCCCAGCAAGGAGCAGGATTCCCTTTGGGGGTGTTGTTCACATTGCCCAAGACTTATTTAGAAAGCTTGAATTATACACTTATAACCTCAACACATAAACAGTTTTGTATTTTACTTTTTAGTTTAGCATAATTTCATGCACGCTTTCCTGTGTAGCTATATTATTTTCCAATTTATCATTCTAATGACTGCTTAATATTCCATCCAGTTAACGTGCCATAATTTACTTAACTGTTCTCTATTGTTGGGCCTTAATGAAAATTTGAATCTACCATGTACTATGGGAGGAGGCTTGTTTTAATGCTTACCATTATGACATCCCTGCTTTAACTGCATGCCATTACAAAGCCAGCTTTGGTAAGGCACAGATGCTTCTGGAACAATAAATCATGCCTGAGAGGTGTAATACAAGTCCCTCTGATTTAATAGCTAATCTGCTCATAGCACGTGTTTTCCCTTCAGCCTGATATTTGTATAGAATACCTGTCTCTGATGAATACAATGTAATACTTAGCTGTATGCGTTTGGCATTTTATCACCAGCATCAGAGACTTTCATAAATTAACTGGAATTTGGGGTAAAAAGTGTGGTATCTGGCTTTCTCATTCATTTGTCTACCTAGTCTCCCTGAACATTTGCATCCGGCTCTGAGGGACTGAGCCAGGCGCTGCTCGTGGAGGTGCATCTGTGAATTGCTTTATGGTGCTCTTAGATTAAGTGGTGATGTATATGAGAAGTGCTTCGCAAACTGTAGGGTGAACCACAAAGTGCTGGTCCTCCTTGTGAAGGCGTGACGAAGAAGGTGGTTTTTCCAGGTCAGTGGCTTCCTTATCAGTTGCCGCAGCTATTCTCAGAACCAGGAGAGAGTTCCCTCTTTTTTCCTTTGTAAAAAAGGGAAACCTCATCCTGAAAAATAATAAATGATGTTAGTTTTCATGTAGTTGTGTTTTGACAAAGTGTGGGACACTTTCTAATGGGAGTCATGATTTTAAGTAGCCTGAGATCCATATATTCACAAAGTTCTTCCCTGTTCATTTGCTCTTTCTAGAAAAAGTATGTGTTGCTTGCATACATACACTCACCTCCTACCAGCTCTCCAATACGTGCAAATCCCTCTTTCAGCAGAGAGCAAGCAAGCCCCAGGCTCCCTCCTGGCAGACAGTAGTACCCACCTAGTTGTTTTTGTTCTCATTCACTCTGTATATTTAGCATCTATGTTTGGCAAAGGGTAATGACTTATAGGGATGGCAATATAGTTTCCTTTTTTGAGTGAATTTATTTATTTAACAATGTGAATAAATGTAAATAACCCCGGTGGTACTTGAAAACAGCAAAAGTCATGAAGCTAGTATGTGACTAAATGAAGTTTTGGAAAGACTAGCCTAAAGTTAATTAATGCAGACACTGAAGATCACTGCACGATGTCATTTGCCTCTGATTCATCAGGGAATGTGGGGGATTTTTATCATCTCTGTGAAGTGGCCTTGAATGTAAAGCCCAAACCAAAAGCTAAAGCAGCCTTCTTTCTTGGAAATGCTTGCGTTATTCGCATGTGTTTTCTCAGCTGCTCTTCAGGGTCCATAACCACTGGGGGCTTCTGTCATATCTTCGTGCTGTTAGAACTCTAGTTTGGAGAGGACTTCCACTTCTATAAACAGCTCACTCTTGCAACCCTCATCCCTTTTTTATCTGGTCTCACTTCTCCTCCCTCACCCTGAACCTGCTCCTGCAGCAGAAGTAGATGGAGCCTTGAGAAGTAGAATTCTGACTCCTAGGAGACCCTTGCAAACATGATGCTAAGTGCAGTAAGCCTCTCAAGAAGGACAAATGCTGAGTGATTTTCACTTGTATTGCTAGAGACAATTTACAACGGTGATTGCCAAGGGCTAGAGAGAGAGGGAAATGGGGAGGCAGTGTCTGATGGGCAGAGTTTCAGTTAGAAAGATGAGAAAAAGTCTTAAAGATGGAGGGTGGTGATGGTTGCACAACAGCGTGAATGTACTTACTGTTATTGAGCTGTGTGGTTGGTAGAGGCTAAAAGTGACTGCTGTTCCACAGATAGTATCTTACCACTGTAAAACCTGAGGAGGGCAGGGAGCACGTTCTTTCCACCTCGGTGCCCTGGCTTGCCCTCATCTTTCCATAGGGACTGTCATCTATGCCTGTTTTCACTTGTCATAGCTGTCAATTCGAATGCCAACTCTTTCTGCTCCTGTCCTGCCCCTCCCAGCCCTCTACACCAAGTTCACTTTGCCCCCAAGTGTCAGGGTGATTTATTTAGGCTGGTGTTGTGTCTTGGAAATAGTGGGCTCCCCTGCACATGCCCTGCCTCAGTGGATGTTCATCATCAAAAAGCAAGTCAGGGTTCCTGGTGTGGCCAGAAAAAAAGCACCTGATTTTAGTATCTTGTCACCATCTTCCCTGAAATAAGCAGCAGCCAAAATGCAAGTCCCCTATCTTGAACCTCAGCTAAACAGGCAGTCACCCCTCAGTCTGTCTTGGTGCTGGCCTTAGCGTCTTCTCTTGAAAATTATGAGCCTCCCTTCCTCACTCAGAAGTAAAACTAGACATTGTCTGTGAAATCCCTGGACATGATCATTCTGTTTGGAAAATGGGAGCGGGGTGTGGAAGTGTCACTCAGGCCTCATAGGGGAGCAAATAGGGACCTTGGGTCTTACTTGCTTGTTGGTTCTTTTAAGTGAATCTGTAAGCTGGGTGTGAACTTGAGGGTCATCTGGGCCTGTCTCCTCCTTGTACAGATGGGGACTGAAGTCCAGAGAGTGTGACGAACTGCCCCCATAGGGAAGACCTGTCAATTTGGCCATCAAGCAAGGCTGCTGGTCTCATCTGTCTGGCAGCTCTGCACTCAGGTGGGGGTTTCCTAGGAGGGATTCCAGGTGAGGAATATGTGCTACACATCCATTACATCTCTGCTTTTTTCCTTTTGCCTACAGAATTCCAGAGACAGGAAAGCATCCGATCCCAACACAAAGGCATCCAGTTGTATGACACCCCTTACGAACCTGAAGGCCAAAGTGTTGACTCGGACTCGGAGAGCACGGTCAGCCCCCGATTGCGGGAGAGCAAGCTGCCCCAGGATGATGACAGGCCTGCTGATGAATATGACCAGCCGTGGGAATGGAATCGAGTCACCATCCCTGCCTTGGCAGGTAGGGAACACGTGGTGCTGCTCAGGAGATAGCTTCCCCTCAGCCTGCTCAGCACGTACTTCAGACAAAGGGAGTATAGACGGGGCCCCAGCCTGCCCTGGGACAGATGCTGCAGCTGTGTTTGACAATCCAGTTGGACTGTCCTTTCTCCTAGTACTGAGGATCCCCCCAAGGCTAAGGAAAAACTCAAGACTGGTGTCTTAGAGCCTTGTTTCTGGACTCCCTATCTTTAGAGATAGCACAGTTACTTAAAAGCTAAGAGAGAGCCTGTCTGCAGAGCAGGTCCATTGGCCTGACGGAGCCCCATGAACCCATCCAGTCCTGCATGGATGGCAAAGCCCACGTGGCTTACACGGCCACCGTGTTTCCCATCCCACCTTCAGCGTGAGCCTGCCCTGAATACAGGCAAGGGCGCATTCTGGCCTCAGGGGCCATCCAGCCCCCTCCTGCCAGGAGCCCATTGAGCAACTCTTGTGGCTCCTTCCTCCTCCAGGACTAGATTTCCAGAATCTGGACCTCCTCTCACATGACCCTTTTGGAAAGTAGTGTGGCCATGTCACATGCTCACACCTTTTTGATTATAATCCTACTCCTGACAGAGTTTCACTAAACAGTTCAGGCTGGCCTTGAACTCTCTTTGTGGCTCAGGCTGACCTCAAACTCATGGTGATATTCCTGCCTCAGCCTCCTGAGTACTGGGATTACAGGTGTATACCACCATGCATGGCTCAACCCCTGAGAATTTATGCCAAATTAAAGATCTAAAATTCAGAAAAAGCATTGTTCATAATCATGAAAAATAAGGTACTGAAATGTCCATCCATGGAGATATATGAATCCATGTAGTAGAATATTGTGTAGCCACTACTAAGTGATGTTTTTAGAGTTTATAACAACCTAGGGAAATGTTCTTGTTTAATATTAAGAACTGAAAAGTCAGAACAGTGAATGCATCTGAGTTTAGACATGTAAAAAGAAACATTCAGTGACTAATTCTCCCCACATTGAAGGCCAGAAAGGGAGTTTTAATTTGTTTAAAATCATTTGCCTTAAATCTCCATCTTACTCAGACACAGCTAGACCCTGCCTTCCTCTCTAGCCTTCAGCAATGAGCCTGACCCTCAACCTGCACCCCTCAGTTGATTTCTAGCTATTTCAGCACACACAGCTCAAAGTTCCTGGGATATACCATGTCCTACGCACATCCCATTTTTCTTCCTGAAATATCACCTGTCCCAGCCTTACCATTTCTGGAAAAATCTTGCACCTCCTTTGAGGCCTGGTTCAAATGTCACCATTTCTGTGAGCCCTCACTGGTACATAGCTTTGTGTTGCACAGATGTCTGGTCCCCTCCCTGGGCCCATCCAGCATCTTGCACATGTCACTGGTAGAACATTTTTCACACTACCACAGATTGTGTATAGGTGTTCTTCTTGTCTGCCAGGTTGTGGGCTCCACAAGATCAACCTGTCCTATCTTTCTGGATCCTCCACCTCTTCCCTTGTATCTCTGTCTTTTTGCCTGCGATCCAAATGCAAAGAAAGGCTCCTGTGGCTGATGATCCTAGGTCACCCTGTGCCTCCAGTAGATTTTACAGCCTCCTCTGTCCTGCTGACCCAAGGGAATCTGAGAATTGTCCCTCCTGTGCTTCTCCAGGTTTGGGAGGAGTCTGTACCATCCATGAGCTTGTTTTTGCAGACATCAGGGTAACTAAAGGACTGAAAGGGTTCAGACACCTTCACTGTCCTTGGAATGATACAGCACTGTGGGGAGGTATGGAGTGTCACTCTGTCCCGCTGGTTTCCTATCCCTAAGCAAAGTGGGTGAGAGATGGCTGGGCCGCCTTGCAGGTGACAATGACGCACTGAAGCAGCTCCTTTGGCTCCATTCCTCAGTCCTGGAGTGTAGCTGCTCATGAATGAAGGGCCAAGTACTCAGTCATGGAACCAGAGTGTGGGAGAGGTAATGAAGGGCACTCTACTGACTTTTTTGAGAAACAAGGTTACTTCATTTGTGACTCATCCAAAGATTTGTTTCCCTAAAGTTACTTTTCAGACAGCATCCTTGGTTCAGCCAGTAAGTGGCAGGTCTGTCTCCCAACAGAGATGGAAGACAGACATATGACTCACATAGGTGTTTTGCTCAGCATAGTTATTTTGGGTGTTTCTCTGTCTCCCCTATCAGCTCCTTGACAGGTTTCTGTGCCCTAGAAAGTTTAGGACAGTGTGTCTCGCATGTTGAGACTAATAGGGCAGGAGTCAGACCATCCCAGGTTCACATGCCAGCTCTGCCACTCACTAGCTCCAGCTTCAGGACCTCAGACAGGCTGTTCAGTTTCCCTGAGCCTTAGTTTTTGCATCTCTGAAATGGAGATAGTCACAACTCTGGTCATGCTGGGTCTCTGTGATGGATGAAAAGACATTATAAAGCCTGAACAGTCTTGCATGGGAGAGTGGTTGTTGATGTTCAGGAAAGGCTCGCTATATTAAACAAAATTCAATACATAAAAATGGTACAGTACTATGAACAGAGGCACTGAGTGGTCAGAGAGGCCCCACTGACAAAGCCCTTCACCAGCTAGCCCTGGCAGTGAGAAGCAGGGAGGGCTGTGAAAATGCTTCTCTTGTTGGGAATCCTAAATCTCCACTCCAGTATCAGCTATAACCGCCAGTCACCTGAGTCTCCCTCCCAAGTATGGCCCAGTGGTCCCTTCAGATCTGAGAGGGTCCCCTCTCCCTATTTTCCATTCCAGACATGACATATTAGAGATTGCTTGATTTGCTTAGGTTAGGGTCTCCAACTTGAATGTGCAGGAAGTGTTAAACAGATTGCTGGGTGCCAACCCCAAGTTCCTGACTCAGTGGGTCTGGGGAAAAGTACGAGAAGGTGCATTTCTCACACATTCCAGGTGCTGCTCATGCTGCTGATCTGAGGACCTCACTTTGAGGACCTGGGATGCACTGAGTACATACTATGTATGCATTAGGCATATAGTGGGAGTGAAGCTAGGAAGGAGATGTCACAACTCGGCTCAGGCAGGGTCGCTGTCTCCCCCATCCAGAGAGCCTTCCCGGACATAGCCAATTCCTTCCCCACTCTCTTTCCAGGTTGGGCTGGGACCCCTCCTCTGTGCTCCTGCTGTACTCTCTATGGGTTTATTTTGGAGCAACCAGGTACACACTTGTCATGGTCTGCTTGCGGGTGCTACTGCTGTGATGTGCACCCCTGAGGTAGCCTCCCCCTTGAGTTTGATATATGCCTAGCCTCATCAAGCGAGGCTGAAAGGGCAGAGAAAGGGAAGGAAGGTCCTAGGTATGCCTGTTTCCGAAACAGTTGTGAGTCATCTGTGAGCTGGCTCAGCTGGGTAATTTAAAATAATCCTGTTAAGATAAGGGAGGAGGGGAAGGGCAGGAAACTAAAATTTATTGGGCAGCAATTATGAACCTGGCATAGTTAACCCTATGAAGCCCTGCAAGGTGGGGGTTGCTGCGCTGTATCACATCGATGAGCGTGCTGAGGCTCCAAGTGAGGGGCTTGCCACAGTCACTGCCAGTGAATTGAGATCAGTCTGACTGCAAACGCCGGCCTTCTCCACTCCTGTGTTGATACCTGAGCACAGAGAGGTCTGTTAAAACATGCCCTTCACTTTGTTCTGGTGTGAGGTGGCTTAGGGCAGTGGTGGCGAACCCGGGGCACCTGTGCTGCAGCCAGCTGTTTGTTATCATGGAGTTCTGGCTTAGGGTGTTGTTGAGGCAGAAGCAGTTGTGCCTGCCTGTTCTGTGTTGACCTCATGATTTGTCCCTGTCCCCCACAAATGCAGATGCTCTGTGGCTGGTAATACTGTAGTTGTGTGCGGTGAGTGCCGCACCATACTTGCTGTTCCCACGAGCCCTGTGACTCACCCTCGGGTGCTCAGACTAAACACGCCTGGCCTCTTTAGATGGTTCTTCAGGGAATCTTAGACCTGGGCACTGCCACCTGTCGCATCAGCCACATGCCATTTCCTTCCCACCACTGGCTCCCCTCAGTTCCCAGGATGCTTCTGTCTCCTGCACAACTTCCCAGAATGCTTTGGGCCTGCAAGGAAATTAACAATTGTGTTTGTACAGGAGCCTTTTACTGTGTAATGAGTAACATTCGTAATTAATGTTTAACACATGTGAACAGCAGGGCTTCCCACAAAGGGGGGGTTCAGTAAGAGAACTGGGATCACTCACTTTCTTTGGCTAATATATTACCGAGGGACAGGTTTTTCCAGTTGGTTTTTCTATTTGACATATGAATAAATTCACTTAGGAAAAAAATTCACTTAGTAACCTTTTTTTAAAAATGAAAAAAACATTAGCATTTAATAGCTTTGTCTCTTGGGTGGAAGAAAACTCAAAGATTTGATAGACTATCTTTTGCCCTTCTGTTTGGCTGATCAAAGATCTAAATGTTGGTAGAGCTTTGTGAGATCAGAGACCCTGTGTGCCTTGTTCACACCTGGGTTTCCACCTAGCTCTGTGCCTGGCACATAATGAGCACCAAGGTATTTTTTAAATTACTAAGTCTGATCCTGGGAAAACCAGCCCCAGACTCTCTTACAGTCCTGAGCTCCACAGATGACCCTGAGGTCTATGCACACGCACACGTGCTTTGCTTCCTGTCAGTCCTGTGTGCCACGTACCTGTCCTCTGGGATGGTGCTGGGGAGACCTGCAGGGTGGGACACTTGAGTGGCTGTTGACTACCTCAGTGGCTACCTCTTGTCTGAACTTCCAGCATGATACTGAAAGTGTACCTTGCCTATCCAAACTGGGTGTGAATGTGGATGCCACATTAGTGTGCTGATGGGTGGCAGGCAGTTCCCTGATAGCTGTGTTTGTGACCAGCACTGGTTTGTCCCCTCCCATTTCTTCTCACCTTCCTTCCCTGCCATCTGCAGTGGGTTAAGGGAGAAGCGTACACAGCTGGGCAGGGAGACTCATTTCCACAAGTGCTCAGCCTAGTCTGGGTGG